AGGCTTAAGCTGAGCTGAGAATTCGCAACTCATCAATCAAATAGCGGAGAGCTAGCCAAACGGACGGAAACTCGTCAGCTGATAAGCCGAGCGACGCCTCCMGAGCTCACCGGGATTCCGTTGGCWATTCAAATTTGTTGCATTGCGATTGATGTGGGCATTACGTGACCTGCCAGCAGTAGCAGTCAAAGGGTTTCTCTCTTTAGTTTCATTTTTTCTTCTAATGGCATTTTGGCGTAATTTATGCGCCTGTGTAAACGCCTTTGAAAGAGACAGACGCACGGAAGCTGAGTCTGCCTACCTGGGCAACTGCGAGCCWGGGCAACCCCTTGGCAATGGATGAGCTCGCAGCGGKCTCTRCTGCATAAATTACAATTTATWGCGATTTGCATCACTGAAACGGGCACACGGCACAGCTGCCTACAAATCCTGCCCAGCCAGCTCAGCCAGCTCAGTCAGCTCCTCGGCTCGTCAGCTCCGACACTCAGTCTGGGCCGTTCAGTTAGTGCGTGAAGTCCGCAAGTGTTGGTTGAGTTGCTGGTGCTGCTGTCGCTCATAAATTAGCAGCATTTTAAAATGAAATAAAAACTTAATAGAAATGTTAAAGACGCCACGCATGCGTAAACGTTACGGTCAAGTGGCCTTGCGATTAACGCGGGCTGCCTTTGAGGGCCGCAGTCGCCGTTTGTGGGCGGGCACTTCACTTCACTTGGGAGTGCCGCTTGCTCGGAGCTCCTCACATGTGAGCTGCATGGCACATACCACACTCAAGTCAAGTTAATAATATGAAAGAAATCACTTTGCCGCTTTGTGCATTGTTAAAAGTTTTAAGCTGCGCCTCAAACAGACGCCGACTCCAACTCCAACTCCAACTCCGACTCCGACTGAGGCTTCGATGCATATGCAGAAAAAGGAGGAGCTGCTCGCATGCGGCAAACAAAGTTGTTTGTAATAGCGCTTTTGTGGTTCCCCCCTCAGCGCCAATGCCTTCGCTCAAGGTACTCGGCTGGTAGCCAGCAAACTTTGCTGTTTGCAAACTTTTATTCTTCTTTTTTCTTTTTTTTTTATCGCTGCAGCAGCAGCAGTTTTTTTCTTACGCCGCCAACAACGAAGGAGCAGCCGCTGCGTAAAACTTTTCACTTTGACTCCACTTTATTGTATTTCTAATACTTTGCTTTTCAGCCAACTTAGTCGCAGCAGCATGTGAACAAAGTAAGCGGCCAGCGCGTTGCCGAACTGTGCAAACGTCTATGAAAATGTGCTGGCTATTGCTCTACGCGGCCCCACTCGATGCGATGGAGTTCAAGCGCACCCCTCAAA